ATGCAGATGAAAGAGGGGGGGGGGGAAACGAATGATGGACACAAAAAAAACCTCAACAACTGAGGGGATCCATTGCTGCAGCAGCACTGACTGTGGGAACAAAACGTGGGTGTTTGGTGCTGGTACATGTGACAGTGGATCATTGGGAAGAGAATACCTCCACAGCCAGGCTGTGATCAGACATAGACACGCTGGTGTTGCGATGCCAACAAACATGCATGGTTTTATTTGCACGATGGTGCGTCTGTTTATCCAATGACGTTCGGGAGGAGTTAATGTCGTCCTCCGACTCCTGCTCCAGAGAGACCTCGTCAGATGACCCTGAGGGAGGAAGGGAAGTAGAAACGGAGGGAAGGGACGTAGGTCAGGAAGTGATTGGAATTAAGGCTGTAAGCTGCACACGTGGATGGTTGGCACCCCCTGAGGGACGAGGTGTCTTAAATATATTTGGAGCTGATAAGACAAGACAAGGCAATTGGTGTTGACCTTTTGCGTTACATAGATACAGTAGAGATTAAACTTACGGTTTGAGTGATCGCCAACTCCAGGGTGGAGAGAGATGCTGGACTTCTCTGACTTTTTTGCCATGTCAATAGCCAGGTTCAGATCCTCAATCCATTTTCCCATCTCTACTTTAGAGCTACAACATAGGACACAAAAACACAGTCAAAAATATTAGTGAGTGTTTGGCCAGTATTGTAGCCTTAACCAGTAACCACTCTAATAAAATTAGTACTATTAAAACCTTATCATTGTACGTGTAAATTTGCAAAGTCAAGAGGAAAAGAAAAAGGTGGTATAGTAGTACAGCAGTAGTAGCAGATACTGGTACACAAGCCCTAGAGTGCCCTCTAGCGGCTCTCAGTGTGAAAACAACGAACATAAACATTTTCAGTGCTGCAGGGGTAGCAGATACTGGTACACAAGTCCTAGAGTGCCCTCTAGCGGCTGTTTCTTAAGTCCCACCTGACTATAAGTGGCAAACCCAGCCAAAGGATGGGAAAAAAAAGTGCGAATTATAGTTCAGAAAATATGGTAGCCGAACATAAATTGTATAATTTCACGTTTGTTAAATCCCACTTGACTATAAGTGTCAAACCCAGCCAAAGGATGAAAAAAAAAAAGTGCGAATTATAGTTCAGAAAATATGGTAGCCGTCTTAATCTTAGCAGAATGTTAACTTAATCCAAGCTATCAACAATTTTATATTGCTGTTCACCAAATTGTTTCTTCAAGATATTCCGTCTGTATCTCTACTTTTTCTAGAGAACTTTCTTTGAACACTCAAAGTTTCTATTTAGAACTCCGGATCCTGCATTTCCTGGTCTGACAACATGTTTCACCCCCTTAAATTCTAGTGTAGTATAATTCATAGTTTTCCATACAATTATTAAGAATAATCTATAGTTTCCATTTTTGAAAATGATACAGTTTTCCGTCAGTTGTTTCTCATTGACACTCGGAGCTTGGCAGTATTTTGTTTCACGATTTGATGATCTGAAAGTACTAACCTGGCAGCCACAACAATGGTTCTCTGTGCAGAGTAGATGGTGAAGCAGTGAGGGACAGACCACTCATTGTCACTTTCTTCAACCTACAGATATTAGAGAGACAATAAAAGTAAGTTATGTAGGGTTGGACAATAACAGATTTTTTAAATTGTGCATTTTAACAAACCTCACAGCACAGACTCAACTATCAGCCAGCCCAAGAGTAAAAACATCACAGTAAAACATATCAATCTTCTACCATTTAGCATATCTTCCGGACAATAAGTTGCATTTTTATCCTTTAGATGGGTTTGCAGCTTACACTCAGATGCGACTTATATATTAAAATATACAATTTCACGTTCATTATTTTAACACCGACAACAGCTAGAGGGCACTCTTGGCTGGCTGGCTGGTGCAACTTATATACTTTTTCTTTGTTATGCATTTTTGGTTGGTGCGACTTATATTATATACAAATCAATTTACAGTCCAGAAAATACGGTAGTCCTTCAGAAATGAGTGCTACATAATGGATTCCAAAGCCGACTAAATGAATAAAATCAGCACATTTTTGAACTGTGACTATGAAACTGCGTGACACTCCCCTGTCCCCGTCTTTGTTTCTTTTTCTCAGATTAGACACATTTGATTCTGATAACACCGAAACTCCTGGACTTATGCCACCTTTCTGTCAGATTTGCATAACTGTGATAAACTGATAAACTGATTTATACAGTAGTGCTGAAGTCTTAAGATTAAATGTTAGGTGTTTCTGGTGGATATAGCCACTGTAGTCAAATCTCTAAATACCCTTGTGATTTTAGACATAGTCAGAAGTGAGAAATGAGAAGATAGGTTACACTTTTTTTTTTTCATACGGCTAAAACATACGAAGTGTTCTCTCATTATATCACGGTTCTCCTTTCGCTCCCTCAGTACATTGCAGATTTTTCTTTTGATCCCATCTCGCGAAACATAGCAAAAAATAAAACTAAAAGACATTATAAATTAATTACAAATACGACAGTTTTGGCATTTAAAACGGTCGCTGGTAGCTTTGTTTTACCTAGATGAGATCGTGCAGAGCATACTATTGGCTAATACAATGTGTACTCGGTGTACTATTGGCTAATTGAGCATGCTCTTCTGTTCCTCGCGCTGATTGGCTCATGCATCGTAGCATCTCCTCCTCGTCTGTCGGCCACTCTCTCGTTCACTTTGCTCTGCGTCGCGATTATACAACTCTACTGTGCATATAACAGTGTCGGAGAGGTTTTGTAAAGGGTAAATATATATGTAAATAATATAAAAAGTACAGTATCGGAGAGGTTTTGTAAAGGGTAAATATATATGTAAATAATATAAAAAGTATCTAGCCTCTACTTGCGAGTTTTCCCTGTACTCTACAAACAAGTAGTGAATATACAAAGCTGCTGTTTTTATATAAGTAGTGAATATACAAAGCTGCTGTTTATAAAAAAAAAAACAAAAAACACAAAAGCTATTGAAAGTCATTGATGACTATGTGACAATACTACTGTACATACAACCACAGCTAAACCAACTGACATACCCCATACAAGGACTGGGACACCCGAGTCTTAGCGACAAGCTAGGTGGCTAATCATTTCTCTAAACAATAAGGGTAAAAGATGGGTTGGATATTTGAAGTCTAACATAGCAGGACTGAGAAGACTCACCGGTGCGTCCAGCACAATGAGCTGCAGCCAGGAGTAAAACAGGAAGGAAGGAGAGTTAAAGTGAACTACTTGTCATTGGGACACAGCACACAACCAAAATGTGACCTCTGCTTTTAACCCACCACCAAAGTGAACAGTGGGCAGCTTTAAGCGCCCGGGGAGCAGTGTCATGCTAAGAGCACCTCAGTGGTAACTTGGCAACCGGTGGACTCGAACCCAAAGCCTTTCTCCACTGCATGTAAAGTTAGGAGACCCAGGCAACTTCCTTCTTTGCAAACCACACTGATCTGCTCTGAATGAACGTCTGCAGTGTTTATTGAAGCCAGACGGAATTAGATGGTCCAGGGCATTCTTCACTGGCTTAGTGCCTTTTATGGTTTCCATCCAAAGTGACCTAATGGTTCCCAACTATTTCTGGTCTACTTCCTGGGACTCACGCTAAGAAGTAAACAACTCTGTCCGTTTATTTTAAACAGTCTTTGAAAGAAGTTTTGAACGGGCTGTGGACCACTGGCGGTGGGTAATATTGTTAAAGGCTGGCAGTTTAGTGATTGTTGAATATAAAAGATGTTGCTCTTCCTGATATAAACCTCATTTAGCTACTTTGGGTTAATTTTGTCACGCTTTCTGACATGTCTGAAGACCAACTGAGCTGTCAAACAGGTTATCATAGAAATTCTTAGAGACACGGATGTGCCGTAGCATGACACGGACTTTGGTTTTTGACCTGTATACTCACTATCATGCCATGAAGAGGCAGCTGTCCGTGCACTTTGAACTGGTTGGTCGCTGTCACGCCTTTGCTAGTGTACAGGAGCATGTCTGAGAACTGGAATGACAACAAACTGAAGTTTGATACCAATTCATCCAACAGCGGAAGTGAAACAGTAACCATCCTGAACTGACCAGAAAAAACATCCTTTGTTGCAGACCTTTCTTGGTAAGTTTGTAAAGGCAACCCTCTCGTACAAACTCCTAAAAAAACAAACAAACCAAAAAAAAAAAAAAAAACTTTTACATTTAAATGTATTTGCACCCTTTTTTTCTCCACCCTTTTTTCCCCTCTGTGTACTCACCCTTCCAGGTGCGGACAGGTTTTCGACCCCAATAAGGTCTCTCTGCAGCTCTGTCAGCTTCTGGAAGTTTTCCAGTCGAATCAGACTTTTCTGCAGCTGAGTAGCCATCTCTGCTACTTCTTTCAGGGCCTCTGTAAAAGAGCAAAACCAAATATGTGATATACGTAGAAGCTACCGTATGTTCTGGACTATATGTTGCATTTGTTTTTTTTTCATCCATTGGCTGGGCTTATACTCAGGTGTGAGTTATATATTAAAATACATAATTTTACGTTTGTTATTTTCACACCGACAGCCACCAGAGGGCACTCTAGGCTTGTGTACCCACTATCTACTACTCATGTTTGTTTGTTTTTTTCTTCATTATGCATTTTTTGTCTGCTGCGACTTATACTCCAGATCAACTTCAACGAGTCCAAAAAATGCGGCAGTTACCGAAGAACTCACCCTTGCAATCGTCGTGATCCCGGTGGGCTGGGGAGTAATGTTTGCACAGTCTCTCCAGGATGAGCTTGTAGTGCATGAGGCGCTGGATTGGTTTGAGAAGAAAGGTATTTAAGGGCAAGTAGCAGACCTTCTGCAGTTCAAACTCCTTGTAGACTGTCTCCAACGTCTTCAGTCTCTTGGCGGCTCTCTCTAGCTCTGTCAACACCTCGTCATGCTTCTGCAGGTAGCTTGTGAACGCCTGAGAAAATACAAATAATGAAAAGGTTTTTCAAACACAATCATAGATGGTAAGGATAATACGACCAGAAGAGCTCGATTTAACCTTTAGTGCACACATGTTCCTTAGCATCACGTCACCAATTCTCTGGTAGTCCCCTTTCACATGAGCGTTTGAGCGTCCCTCCCTGAGAGGATAGACGTAGTTTTTGTCTACAGGAACTTTGAGCATAAACAGAATTACCTGTTACATTGGGTCAAAATCACAAAGGAACCTACCAGAGAGCCAATCTTTGATCCAGCTCCTTGAGAAAGCCTCTGTGGAACTCATAGATGGGATCAATGTTGGAGAAGAGAAGTGTCATGAGGCCCTCGGGCATGGCATTTTCTTTGATCACAGCACTGCGGAACCACTGTGAACAGCACAT